AACTACATTTGTCTGGAATATGAACAATACAAAGTAGCTAGTAAAATGTTTTTATATCAAAAAAAGTAAAGAAGCTTATTAGATCATATTAATGTATGTGTTATTGCTTGATTATGGCTTCCTGGTTCAAGTATGGACATTATAAACAAAATAAAAATAGGCACGATAGCATCCATCCCATGAGCTCACTGGGATATTTTTTAAAAAATGTGTTGGTTGCTTTTGGAAAGTATTAGGAAACAAATCATTTTGAAAATCATTGCTAAAGGAGAGGTCACTTTCAAACATCTGTTTTAATTTTCCCTATATGAAGTGCATCCCATCATAGCTAAAGAGTTTATTAAATCTTTTTCTCTATTAAAGTATTTCATTTAAAACATAAAGGAGAAATAAGAGTTCAATTGTATTACTCTGAAGGAACCCCAGGCTCTAGACAGCGATGCATGATGGCAGATAACATCACAAAATAAATCTATTGATTATATACGTGTTTATTAAAGTACATAGACTCATCTGTAAAATAGTTTTGCACTCTCCCATATAAACAATACATCTACCTTGAATTTTTGTAAGCCCCTAGATCAATCTACCAATTTTCACAAAATACAGACTTGTGAAGCATATCAGATACAGCGCATGCATGTAATTTGCAGAATCCCAGGCTGTTGAAATGCTGTAGCAGAAATGATTTGATTTCTTCAATAAAACTTTTGCTAGATATAAAAGATGATGGTCAGGGAAGCTATAGAGAAGCCATAGAATACAAGACCCACAGGCTCTATAAAGGTTTTTTTTAAGGAACAGTTTATTGTTTGAGTACTTCATATATAATATTGTGTGTTTTCATCACATCTACCCTTCACTCCGTTCTCTCCAATTCCTCTACGACCTTTCCATTCTTTTCCCCAAACTTACTGAATTCACTTAGTGCTGATTGTATGTGCATGGATGTGGGACCTCTACTGGAACATGGGCAGATTCTTAAATGTTGACATGAGTTGCCCTCCCCTAGTACCCATCAATTGCAAATGGCTCCCCAGATATGGGTGGGAATTCCCAAACTCTCCTTCCATGATTAGATTGTCCGGCTTGATCTTACACAGGTCTTGTGCACATAGTCATAGTGGTGGTGATTCATGGGTAAACTGCCCTGTATGTCTAAAAATAATACTGCTTTTCTGCAGCAATTCACCACCCTCATCTTTCACGTTTTTTTCTGTCTCCTCTTTCATGATGATCCTTGAGTCTTGTAAAAGGGGATGGGTATAGAAGTCCTATTTAGAGCTGAGTGCTCCACATTTCTTCTTTTATGCATGCTGACTTCTGTTTTAATCACCAAATACTAAAAAGGAAGTTCATTGATGAGGCTTGAAAGATGCATTGATATATGTGTATTAAAACAAGAACATAAGGGACAGTTTAATGCTGTGTCCATTCAGCAGAATAATATTACTGGGTCTCCCATCAGGCCTAGGGCCTAGCCAGCCATGTAGGTTTGGCCAAATTAATTGTACTTGGAATGTATTCTGTCTTGTGGAACGGGCTTTAAATCCAATCATAAAGTGATTGATTACCCACATAATGTTCATGCCAACAGTACACTGCTGGGCCTTTTTTGTCAGAATACGCACTGTTATAGCTTTCAGGTTTCATAGTTAAGTAAGACTGCTGATTACCTTTTCCTTCCTAGTAGAATTCTTAGACCCTTGCTGCATTACAGAAGCTATCTAGTAATGAAGAAGCTTCTAGGTTAGTACCAGTTCATTTGCTCTATGCCCCAAATCCCTGGTGTCTTTACCATTAAGAACTTACCATCAAGTTTTGGAGGTAATGGCAATAACCTGTAATATATTGGAGGTAGAATCTATGAAATCCCATTTACCAGTGACATGACAATAGGTAGCCCATACATGTCACTGAATATAATTACTATGTTGTTTTCAAAAAGTATTTCCTCCTAATATAGAGTGACTCCATTTAAAATCCCTGTCTATATGTGTATGTGTATATGTATGTGTACATGTATGTATATATGTATATTTTAGAAAGTTTCTATAGAGGTAAGTTTCCATATGACCTATTCAAAGATCTTTAGTATTAGTTATCCCTCTTATATTCTCTCCACTACCCTGATCTCCCAAGGTTGTATAAAAGTTCTAATTAAAGAAAGGAATGTTTGTATAATATTTGCATTTATATATTATATGGACATTGAGTTTGTATTTGATGAATGTTACTACCTTAATTTATACAGATCAGAAGCTTACAGTGTTGTGTCTTCTTCCCATTGAAGCAACCAATATTAGATGCAAGTAAAAGAAAACATTTTCTAATATCTATTTGCATTTCAAAGCAAAATAAAACACAAAAATAAAAACTAGAATATTGAAAATGGCTTATAAATTCCATCATTTAGATTAAGTAAGCTTTTGGCAGAAAGTTTTATACACGTATCAGCATTCATTATTTCCTTTTTATTCTGTATTGTTACATCTTTAAAATATATCTATTAGACATGCACTCTGTATATACAAACATGTACATGCATACGTTTTGTTTTGTGTGTGTGTGTATGTGTGTGTGTGTGTGTGAGTGTGTGTGTGTGTGTGTGTGTGTGTGTGTGTATGTGTGTGTGTGTGTGTGTGTGTAATATTACTGTGCTGGTTAGATTTTGTAAAATTGACAAAAACCAGAGCCACATGCGAAGGGGGAACTTCAGTTTATAAATAGCCTATATCAGATTGGCCTGTGGAGAATTAATGAACATATTTCCTAGTGAATTTCACATACATCAGGGATAGATTTGTTAATTTTAGCACAGCCAGCTAAGATCTGTTCCATGCTGTCACATAGGAAACACAGGCTACAGAAGCCCAGCAGTGAGGCTCTGGGACAAGTTGTTGAGTTACAAGGAAGGCTTTTTTATTAGAAAAACATCAAATTGTGATAAGAACCGAGCATTCTGTGTATCACTAAATTATGTTATGGCTATATATTTTTAACTAAGTTGTTTCAGAAAATAAAATGCTCATCTTATCCTTTTGAGAGTTAAGAACCTGAAGTAGGATTTGGATCTGTTTAGCTAAGGAAGGAAGTTGATTTTTAAGTATCAGACTTACTTCACAGCTCACTGAATTTGTATTTCTGCTGGCCAGGGCAGCATGTTGCCTCTTGCCTTGGCCGCTTTTCTCTTTGATTAATAATCCCCTGCATGTTGGAACGTGTAGCTAACTTGTCACAACTGGCACATGTTTCAGTTTGTTCTTTGAATAAAAACTGCTTAACTCAAGCCTTAGTAAAAATGTTTGCTTGTTGGGGATGAATTTAGTGTAAGCAATATTTACACTTTTTAGTGCAATAATAGGTGTGGCGCGTCCTGGTGTATCAACAGGTGACTTTCTTACACTTGAGAGGGTAGGTAGCGGTAGAGTGTAATGTGCCTCTGCTCCACAGGCTAACTTTCTATTAGCGTCTTGTTATGTGTATGATTGGCACTGGATATTTTCCCCTCTTCTTTTGATACCCAGTCTACATTCTCTCCATCCTCACTCACCCCATCGGCACCTCAGCCCATGAGCAAGTATGCTTTCTGTTCCACTGCTGAGAACAGCCTGAGGTACAACAGACCTCGGGTATGATTTCATATTAACTATTCCAGGGTGGCTCACTAAAAGATCTCTAGAACGCACTGAATATAGTTTGGAAGGATTTCAAATGGAAGCATTTAGACCCAGCAGTTTTCCTGATGTCTATTAAACTGGAAGTAAAGCTAGCCAGCCAGTCATCCCACTGAGGCAAAGAACATAACTCCTAACAGATAATACCAAGCACGTGTATCTGAAAGTTTTCAAAAAGCATTTTAAGCATTTTGTTTTAATTTTGCTAAGAGTGTAATTTCTAACATCTTCTGTGTGGATCTGAAATTTTGCCTGTTGAACCAGTGAACACCAGGAACTCTGGGTCTTCATTAGCCCATCACCTCTCTCAGATTAATAATGCTTTGTTGATATTCTCATTCATTATCAAAAATAAATCCTCCCACAACTTTAGAACTTGATCCATCACTGGTGTTCTTACAGTTCCTGCTGAGCAGAGAATTCATCACAGAATTACATGCTTGCTTCCTTGCGTAGGGCTTACCGGCACTTACTGCTATAATGCAAATGAAACTTCAAAATAGGATTTCAGCGACATTAAGAAAGCGAAAACACATTAAAGTAGTATTGATTCAGATGACTTTGTTGTAACAAGAAATCATGTCTGCGCCATGGGCACAACAAAACAAGTCCCCACAGGAGAAGAATGTCTTTACCGAGGTGTTGTATGTATAAACACATCCACCACATCTTTGCTGGAGGTTCTGTGTATTCAGCAGGGGCTCACCTGGGGCTGTCTGCATTCTGCCTTATCTCCCACTCCTCGACTTCCTGATCCTTCAAGTGAAGAGTTGGTCTCTGGTCCTACAGCTGACTTCACACCTGTCAGGGACTCTCCAATGACTATAAATTTGTGATTAAGTTCCTGTCATAAAATTGGCCCATGCATTTTTCTTCCAAACTCGGGCTTCCTCATCATACCTTATGTTCCAACAGTCTAAACTGTACCCCATCCATGGGGTTCTCCCTCTTGTCTGTACTTAAGGATATGATACTGTTCTCTTTCATATTTCATTTTGTCCCTGGAGAACCCCTGGCTCAAGCATTTGTTAGGATTTTTACTTTGTGGAAATGTTGACATCCAAATATCTTTCCCAATTACTTCTCTTCAGGTTGTCTTAACAAAACTTAAGCTCCTATTTTGGTTAGCTAGGCTGGCCAGAGAGGTTCCTGGATCTGCCTATGTGTGGTCCCAAACACAAGGCTTATCTCACACTAACCACCACACCTCCATTTTCTCTGGGTGCAGAGGATCTGGACTTAGGTCCTGATGCTTACATGCAAGCACTCTGTCCATTGAGCTATCTCTTCAACCCTGATACGTATTTTCTAATGCTGCTCTAGGTATTCCTTCCAAGATGAGGAAGACATGTTCATGGTGGTGGACCTGCTACTTGGTGGGGACCTGCGTTATCATCTGCAGCAGAATGTCCACTTCCAGGAGGACACAGTGAAGCTCTTCATCTGTGAGTTGGCCATGGCCCTGGACTACCTGCAGAGCCAGCGCATCATTCACAGGTCAGTCATGTCCAAGGAGACAACTCATGGGTTAGAAAGAAAGCTGTAACCTACTGCATGGAACAAGTTTTTGCTCATCATGGCATCTAATGTTCATTTAGCCATTACAGCAGCCATTTGAGGTTATCCATGTAGGTGGTTGGCTTATAAAGTTAATTTTCCCAAGGTCACAGTGAATGACAAAACTGAAAATCACTGGCAATAACTATTTGTACTTGGTTAATGACTCTGCCTATATAAAGAGAATGATTAGTAGTGGATAAGAACTTGAATATTAAATTAATTAATTCAAATAGAAGTACAAGCACACAAGAGGGCAAGAAGAGAGAGAGAATCGGCCGAGGAGAAAACTTGGTGTAATGTGTTCCTGTCCTGTCAACGTATTAAACGAGTCTCTCAAATGTTCACTGCTAACAGGAACAATAAAATCAAAGTCTCTCCTGCACGTAGCAAACTTGCTTTAAGAAAATAAATACAAAAATTATAAAGGTATATGACCAGTAGGCAGAAAAGGATATGTTACAGTTGTAAACAAATGACTAGCTTTAATGATTATCTCATATGCTATATCTCATTTATTCTAAAACAGTAGCTCCAAAACAACCTGTGATAAAAGATCAGAGGAGATACTGTTAGACCAGGAGTAAATATGAGGAAAGCATGATTTGTAAATATGAAATGATCACCTAGGCTTATTAGTAATCAAATCACCATTGAATCCACTACTTTTACTGAAGTTTCCTTTGTGCTCGGCACTGGGAGGCACCAAAAAGGACTTCTCATTTGACTTTAGTGTCCCCATTGTACTGAAGAAGAAAGTGGGTCAAAGCTTTGCTAACAGTTGGTCCTGTTGGGGTCTAAAACTGAATCACTCCAACCTAAGTGGGAGAGAGCTATGTTATACCGACTGCAAATTATATACATAAAATACATGCATCAGTTACAGTGGGTCACCTCAGTGCCATCCTCTCTAATCTTTGAAGAATTGTCTAAGATTCTAGTATAGTTTTGACATATTTAGTAGGCACAATTTGTAGGTACCATGAACCAATCCTCTTTCTTTCTTTCTGGTTCTAAGTAGGTAGACTTAAGTGACTGTTTAATTTTCCATCTTTACACCATCTGTTTGTATTGGAAAGTGCTCTATAAGTAGTGGTGAAATGGAAAGTTGACCAGTTAATCACACAGGACTTCAGAAGGGATTTTACACACCTGCTGTTTTGTGGATAATTTGAAATCTTGTTTTGAAGACCAGGTTTTCTGGCTCTTGACAGCTCTTCCTGGGAAGAGCTTTATTCTGAGAGGAATTCAGAAGGAAATTCACCCTGAACCTAGAAGGATCTCACTCATACCTCATGGCAGTTGTTCTATCTTTCCCTTTCTCCCTCCTCACACTTCTCATCAAATCATGGAGCACATGAGGGGTGAACTTCCTGGTTCTAGCTTCGTATACTCCCACAGTAGTTACTTCTTGTCTACTTTCATTGGTACAGTGGGCACACTTAGATCAAATGAAGAGTTTTTGTTGATGCTTAAGCATTGCAGACAGTGATATCTATAAAGTGCCTCCCAGTGTCCAGAACAAAAGAAGACTCAGTAAATGTGGTGGGAGAAAGTCTTCTCACATAGAATGAAAGAAAGCCAGCAATGACATTCTGAGGAAAGGTAGAAATCCCAAAGGTGGCATTAAAATAAACTGAGACACCATTCTTCTGGGGTCAAAGAGCAATTCGAGTGTGTTTTTGCTGCCTGTGGGGCCTACTCACCTTCGGTGTATTGCATTTTATAAGCTGTCAAAGCATTTTGCACTTCTGTGAAGCTCTGACATATTTTGATATCCAATTGCTTATTTTATTTGTGTCCTCTACTCCAGGAGTAAAGCCATGACTGCCTAGCTTCCCTTTGCTTCCCCATTATTTGTCAAAAGATGAAATAATAAATGCAGGCTGAGCCGTGTCAATGACTAACTGGGAACAAATAATAATTGCAAATTTAAAATATGATACATTAGAGCTGGAGAAGTCCCTTTGTGTGTAAGAGCACTCAGCAGAGACCCTGAGATTGTTTCCCTGAACCCGAGTCAGTAATCTCACAATGGCGTTTAGCTATAGCTCCAGGAAGGTTTGGTACCTTTGACTTCAAAAGCACTGTACTTTCACACATGTACCGTCACACAAACATGTACATACACATGATTAACAAAATAAACGTTAAAAATATATATGGCACATATAAAGCCAAATATTTCAACATGCCATGGCCCTTATGTTGAGTAACATAATTTAAAATTAGAACAGCATACTTCTGAGAGCTAGTAGGTTTCTTTCAATAATAATAATACTGGACATGGTTGTTTACACAGGCCCTGAACAGATGTCACTAACTGACATGCTAGCATGGATGAAGGGAAAGCCCATAGGGCCTCAACCCTAGGCAAAAAACTACTAAGAAATGCTAAGAGGAGGAGAAATAGGCTTGCCCACAGAAGAGTTCCCAAACTGGTTATCCAAAACCAAGTGACCAGCTTTTAAGTCATGTATATAGAAGTAACATCATGCACACACTGCAGGCCATATCTGTATATTTAGAACTATTCACAGACATAACTAGATACATATGTAACAGCAATTAAACAAAAGGAGGCCATGAATTTGAGAGCAAGTTGGGGTATATGAGAAAGGTGGGAGGGAGGAAAAAGTAGGGAAAATAACGCAATTATGTTTTAATTTCAAAAGATAAATAACAATGTTGAGATGATAAGTCCAAACTCTTACATGTTCTGGTAAATTAAAGGCATGTCACCAGCGTTAAGATTCTTCCATGACTGGGGACCAAATAGACACTTTAATTGTCTAACAACTGGGACTTTTACTATTAAAATGCCAGGCATTAATTCAATGTGTTATCATCTCGAAACGGTGTCAAATGGCTTTAAAAACTGGTGAACTAAGGGGTATTTCTCTGTCTAATGAATTTAAATGAGAACAATAATGTTGTTCTGAAACTGGAGTTCATGTGGGGCGTGAAGCTTGGATATCAGTTCAGAAACATTACGGGCTTCCTAGTGCTAGGAGTCTTTTTGTAAAACCTCTTTCTTCATTTATTCCAACAAATACTTATTCATCTTGATAGTTCAGCTATTTCCCAGGGTGTTCAGTGATATATAGCCTGGGGTTTTTCATGGAATAAATTTAAATTAAAAATATAAATCTTCCTTCAAAAGAATGAGCAAACTAAATGCTCAATTTGATTGATGTAAAGATGACAGAATAAATCATCTTTCTACTACTTAGAATACTAGACTGAAAACTTATATTCTGAATTCCAAGACATAAAATGTGTGAATAAAAAAAAAATCCTTGCATCATCATAGATTTGCCCAAGTGAGAAGAACCAATTACACAGAACAGCAGCTATGAAATATAGGACTTCTATGTTCAGAGTTAAACTACATTTTGCCTCCAGACATGGTGGATGATTCAAAATGAACTTAAGGACCCAGCGAATATGCATGGAACACGAGTAGCCCACCATTTACCAGTAGTTTCCAGTCCAGGGGACTCTTCTAAATATTTGTAAATTACTTCACTCAGACTTCCCCCAGTTCCAGAAAGATTATGGCATTACCATCCACAATTCACAGTTGAAACTCCAATTTTGAGAATTCAGGATCTCACTCCAAATTACACTGTCAGAATGTAAGCAAAGCTAGAGGAAATGCAGAGCTCTGGACCACAGTATGCTCAATGAGGCTGAGTGTTGCTGGAGTCTGAAGAGAGCAGGGATAAGGTAAGCATGGCCATCTTAAGCCTGCGAGCATTCAGATTCCAACTGTACAGACAAAGATGATCCATTGAAACCACCAGTTAAGAGAATATTCTAAAACCAGAAGCTAAATAAGCTGTTATGAAAAGGGCTGGCATGCATTAGAGAAGAAGAGACATTAGGTAAGGAAACAGTTTTGTAACAACTCAGGTTTTACAAGAAGTTTGAACAGCCTAAGCAGCAATTGAACCTAGACCACCACATAAGTAAAAGCATAAGTGGGAGAGTCTTTACTCAGGGGCTGGGGAGATGGCTCAGTCAGTAGGATACTTACTGAACAAGAATGATGACCTAAGGCTGGATCAACAGGATTCACGTAAAAAGTGCACAGCACAATCTCTGTGCTGGGTGATCTCTAACAATCATTGACCAGCCATTCTAACTGAATTGTTCAACTCCAGGTTCAGTGAGAGACCTTGTCTCAAAACATCAGGAAAGAATGATTGAGGATGTTTAATTCTCACCTATTGCCCCAACAAGTACATGCGTGCACATGAGTGCATAATTTCTCCCCTACATGAAGAACATACATGGGAGAGAACATACATATAGGGGAGAGTACATAATTTCTCCCCTACACCATACACACACACACACACACCACACACACACACACAGAGTGGGGAGGGAGGGAGGGAGGGAGAGAGAGAGAGAGAGAGAGAGAGAGAGAGAGAGAGAGAGAGAGAGAGAGAGAGAGAGAATCTGCTCCCTGAAGAAATACAGAATGGGCTCTGCTTTAATTTTTTTCCTTACACTGACATCTCTGCCACCAATGTGCACCTTATTTTTCTAAAACACTGCATGTCCTGTTTCGGCCATAAACTCCATGTCAGATATAAGGGGGGGCTCTGTATTTCTTTATTGGTAGAAGTTTTCTATCCATAGACTTGAATTTTTAAACTTTTATATAAGCAAAATATTGAGCTCATTTTTTATCAGTTTCAGGAGCTTCCTTCCACACAGTTGATCATGTCACAGAGCTTCACAGTGACTTGAATTTTGGTTTCTATAATTAAACAAGTTTTTATTAGTCAAGAAATTCAAACATTTCCCGGTGCTCTCAGATTGAAAACCAACTGGGATTTAGTTTTCAAAGTGTGACAGACCCTATTTGAATACTCCCTTATTTACATTAAACCAGGAAGGTAGGCTTTAAATTATGGACGAAGTGATTG